GGCGGCTCAGAGGTCACAGAGCTACTATGCTGCAGAATAAGAAAGATGGCAGCATTTTTGATCACAATAAGCAGCTTGCTTTTCCTAAATATAAAAAGTAAATTATCTGGGGGCACCTGGATGGTTCCGCTGGTTGAGCTTCTAACTCTTGACTTCAGCTCAGATCATGATCTCATGGTTGTGAGACTGAGTCCTCACGTCAGCATGGAGCCTATTCAAGATTCTCTCCTTCTCCTCTTGCCCCTCCAACACACACACACATATGCTCTTGCTTTCCCCCTGTCTCTCAAGAAAAAAAAACAAAAACCAAAACTAAATTATCTGAATGGAAGCAAAGAGGAGGAAAATGACCATCTAAATATTTGTGTTTTAAGATCTGGCTGTAGTCTCTTTCAGGACCCCCAGATTAGAGTGTCAACCAATCAAATTAATGACTCAGAATTTACTGGCACCCTGCTCTGTACTGGGTACCATGGAACAATAACAATAACAATAACAACCACAACAACAGAGACATTGTCTGGCCGGAGGGGCACTGAAAATGTAACTACTTGTTAGTGGGAATGCAGTCAAACTCAGAGAAAATAGCCACTTCTGTGATGTTTTTTTCTATAAAAAGGGATACATACATACATACATACATACATACATACATACATACATAGAACTTAATTCAAAGCATGTTCCAGAGTGGGCGCTTTGACTTTGTAGATAATTCTACGATGATGAAGGGCAGACAAGAAATCAAGGTACTCTGGCTTCCTGTCCTCTTGTGTGTTCCTGTGACATACTGGGACCTCATGCCTGGAGGCACAGTGGAAGCCCCTGGCTCTCACATTTACTCTGCACAAGGAGAAACCTGAAATGCTGTCTCCCATGCATGTGACCGTCATGGAAGAAACCTCGAGCACGCTGTAATCTTGACCTCCTCCACCACTAGTCTGTGTGAACTTGGATGGCAGAAACTGTGTCTATTTACTGTATCACTGTATGCCCCAGATCCAGAATAGAGCCTGACATCTAGGGAGGACTCCGATATATTTGTCAACTGAATGAAGGAAGAAACAGCCACCTGCCTTCTACTGAAGCACACAGAAATCTTCCTAGCAAGATTAAGTGTTATATATATATATATATATATATATATATATATATATATATATATTTCCCCCCCCTTGGTGGCTTAAGTTGGTGTTGACAAGTCAACTTAAGTCTGGTGACATCTTCAAAAAAACAAAATGCAGCGAAAACAAAAGTAGACCCAGAATAATGGGTCAATGTTTCGCCTTCCAGGTTTCTCCACCAATTCTAAAAACATCTTTGCCTTGATCTTTTCCCCCATTTCTATTTTAGAAATCACGGTAACCCTAAATTTAATTGCAGTATATTTAAAAATAATAGGCCAAAAAAAAAAAAAAAAAAGCAGTTTTTTTTGGTCCAGTTCACATCATCAGAGCAAAATACAGGAGCAGACAGAAATTTAGAAAAAATTAGAAAGTGACTTTCTAACAAGAAAATTGAACAAATGCAGGTAAAAATCTTTATGTGATTCTTAACCTAATTTTCTGATATATATCTGAAACAAATACTGATCATCTATTTTCCTAAAGATGATTTCCATCACTTATATAACATGGAAACATTTGGACAAGAAACAAGTGTTGGCTTTTAAGATGTATCCTGCAGAGGGGTGCCCGGGTGGCTCAGTCGGTTAAGCATCCGACCTCAGCTCCAGTCATGATCTCGCAGTTCTTGGGTTCAAGCCCTGTGTCTGGCTCTGTGCTGATAGCTCAGAGCCTGGAACCTGCTTCGGATTCTGTGTTCCTCTCTCTCTACCCCTCCCCTACTCACTCTCTGTCTCTCGACATTAAATAAATGTTAAAAAATAAATAGATAAAAATAAAATGCATCCTACAGATATACGGGAGCAATTTAGCATTGTAGGGAAAAACTAAAAACATTAGGTAAAGGGGAATAGAACAACAAACAAAAATGTAATAATTACTTCTCTTGAAAGCCCTAGGTTTCTTTGTGAACCACGGTTAAGATTTCCTGTTTCTGAAATTGCATTTGCCTTTCTCTCTTTTTTTTTTTTTTAACAAAACCACCACAAACTTCACCTCATATGAGATGCATTGTCAAGACTCAATATAATAACTGTGTGGTGACATTTTGGCAGCAAAAAAAAAAAAAAAAAGGACCTCAAAAGGTCATGTCAACCCAATCCTGACTGATGACAGCCATCGCCAACCTACTAATTAATTCTCAGAACACAAGGTGAATTTTTTATGTCTTTACAACTAAATATCACACATCTAGCAAGGGAGAAGAACTTTCTTTGGAAAAAATAACCCTAATACTATCTTACATGATTATGACCGGAAGCAAGAAGCTGTAAGTCCACATTCAAGGACAAAACTACATTCTATAGGATGGTGTTTCCCTAAGTTCAAGGGAGAACATGGAGAAGAACTGACCTGATCGAAGCATGTCAATTTATGACACAGAGACAGGAGCTACCTTTGATGGGCGTTAGTCCAAGTGAGCTGCTATAAGCTGCCTTCTTCTGTTGCCATTTTTCAGACGGTATGAAGATGGGAAAATGAGTTACTGGAACGTTTTCTCCTCAGAGAGGGTGGCTCACAGATGGGCTGTACCTGTGGTTCCCACATAACCTCCGTGTCTCGACAGGTACCTGAATCCTTCGTAGGACTCTCCAAATCGCCTTATATTTCACAAGGAATCCAAATTGTTTTTTATTCTCCAAAGTTCACTTACAAGCTTTAGGAGACAAGTGTTTTCAGACAGAGGAATTCTGTCCAATATCTCCTTACCCGACATGAGGGAAGCTGGTTTTAGTGATGGGTGTACCACATGGTGCGTTAAACATTTTTTAAATCAACCTTGGTTAAAAGAGATTACAAATCTTCATGGTAGGTCTGATATAGTAGCTGCTTAGTAATGGGTAGCTATTAATATTGTTCATTGGAAAAAACAATGAATTTGGACTCTGGTTGGTTTTGGTTTTGGTTTTGTTTTTTTGAGGGAGAGAGAGAGCACAAGCAGGGGAGGGGCAGAGGGAGAGAATCCCAAGCAGGCTCCGTGCTGTCAATGCAGAGCCCAATGTGGGGCTTGACGCCACAAACTGTGAGATCATGACCTGAGCCTGGACGCTTAACCAACTAAGCCACCCAGGCGCCCCTGAATTTGAATTCTGAAAACAAAAACTACTTCTGTAGGTCTGTTTAAAGAAGGATAGGTGCAATTGGTACATGGCCAGGACCTGCTGAGAGGGGACCATGGACAACTGACATTCCAGCTGGTATTTAACTCGTGAGCTTGTCTATTTCACACCTCCAATCTACGGCATGACATCACACAGCCTTGCTCAAAACCCTGGGTGTTTTGGCATCAAGCCTTACACTGGGGCACGGAATCCACGTGCTTTCAAAGTACTGGTGAGGATGAAGTCTGTGCTGCTATTCAAAACAGAAATTTGGCGACAACTTTTTGGGACTGAAGCCATTTCTAAATCACCATCTGAACCTCATCAATATCAAACTCCCGGGTGTCACCTGTAGTCTTTTGAAAATCAATTCCCTTTCTAACAGTAGTAAAACAAGATTAACTGTGTCTTCCCCTTCCTTTGTTATTTAAATCATCTTAAAGGGAACATGGGAGGACAGTTTGAAATCCGACACCCAATGGAGGGGGGCATCTGCACTGAGTTATGAAGATCACTAGCGAATGTGGGAGAAAATCCGACACTGGAGCCCTGAGACGGAGCCTCAGCGCTCTCCAATCTGAAGTCCGTGTAAGCAGCACTTCCAACAGCGACTCAACCTAGCAGAGCACAGTTCTTGTTTTCCCTGCAGAACTCTGTCCAACTCTGTAAGTGGAAAATCCTTTTGCTTGAGTCTGTATTTCCCATCACTATCTTACCCTATTATTTATTTTCTACTCTATTAATAAACCATAGATTTGACCGGTGACCTACCCTCTTCCTGGTAAAATAACAACAAAAAATGATAGCAAGAAATATAACTTTAATTTCTCCAGTTATCTAATCTAGGCAATGTTCTTCTGGGGAAGAGGGAGGCTGATTTTCATTTTTGTACAGATTCTGTAAAGACTATAATGAATGGTAACCTGATTGAGATTCTTGGGAGACATCTTAACTGCATTTCATACATAAACTATTTTCCACTCTCCATGAGTATTCTGAATTAAATCTTCCTTGGTGTTATCCAAGGTGTTATCCAAGCGCTTTCATGAGCGCTATACTGTCCAACTCAATATGGTGCGTAGAGAGCTCAGCCTGGTGTGTTATGTGGCTGTGTGGAGCGGGGTAAGAGTGGGTTTCCAAGCAGACAGAGGGTCCCCGCCCTTGCACAGAATACAACCTCAAGGTCCCTCTTTTAAGAGCGAACACCAGATGTGGTTTTGAGGAAATGGTTGTACACATAGGAATCTTTATAGATTCAAGGGTTTTTAATATGGGGTTTCCATCCGCCACTGAGACTTAACCAACCTACAAAACTAACATTGTAAGAAATCAATATGTAGACAACAAAGTTAGTATCCTTCTGTTTATCACCCGCAGGTTGGTCCCTCCCTGCAGGGCCATTGCTAGCCCATCACAGACAGAGCACAACAGCAACAAGGCTGGTTATTTGTGAGTTCTACAACCTACCTACCATGAATAGGAGAGTCTCAGAAAAGAATTAAGACACCCTTTTTTTGAGAACCAAGCCTGAGGTTATATGACGTTTCTCACTAGATCAAAAGATCAGGTGTCTGGATATCGTCCTTTTAAAAACATAAACGAGAATGAAGTTTCACTGTCAAGGGCACAAAGGCTATTTGCACCTGGGGAGCCATGGCAGATGAGGTGATTTGGCCCAAGTGAAGCATGGATGAGAAGGGAGAAATGAGATCATGAGATGAGCAGGGCTGTGGCAGAGAAGGCAGGTGGAGGGTGGGAAGGGGGCGGCGCTCACCACTGCCCCCTCCACTGGCTCCTCAGCCCGGGTGTCCAGTCCAGAGTCCAGCCCGACAGCAGGTGTGGCGGCAGCAGGGGGCTCCTCTGCTTTCGGCTCTGTGGGTAGGGCCTGTTCAGATTCAGCCTTTGATTGTTTGTTTTAGGGTCAGAGGAAAAAGATTCAACATGTGAGTAGATAACATCACAGGATACTGGACAATTAAGACTTTCTTCATCATCCTATGGGCAACTAGCTTCATGAAGTCCGTGCTGGAAAAAAAGCCACACATTTGGCATCAGGAGCCCTTAACTGGAAACTCTAGAAATGAACCCTTAATTAGGCTTTGCTTTAGCATCATCAAGCACTATCATTTCCCCTGAAGTCAGACAAAGACTTACCATTTTGGCTACTACTCGTTTTACGTACTTGCAGCTTTATGATGTCTGCAAGAGATCCTAAAATGGTACTTTCTGCCATCTCGCAGAGAGAGAGGAGATCCTAAGAGCTCCCTTAGGAGTTGGAAGGAGGTCTCGAGAAAGGGCTCAGAGGCACAGGGTTCTGGGACCTTCTGGCTCTGATATGCACTGCATTTCAAATGACCCCAAATTGAAGGGTCACTCCAATATTTAGATCAAAATGCATTCATCTGCATGACTAGGTCACCATGAAGCCACCGTCCCACTCACCTGGCTGGGAGGAGCAGACCCAGCTACCTGGCAAGTAGCCACCACAATCACAGATGCTTTGCGGCCTTGTATATTCTTGTTCAGTGTCTTGTTCCACTTTCCCCCGCTCCCCAAACAAATTCTTAGCAATCAGTCTCTTCATATAATAAGCTAATTCTGTAGGGGACCACAGGGTGGTATTCTCTGTGATACCAATTAGACTCTTCTAATTGTGTGGCCAAGAGTGAGGATTTTCCATCCCACGGTGACCTTGACACACAGACTTCCTCCTGATCCCAATTATATGCTGAATCAAGCCTCTGGAATCTCTTCACTCCAGACTTCGTTTGTTTCAAAATTAGCAATATTAAGTAACAACAGGCCCCTTAAGAACACCACAGCCAATGCATATCACCACGGCTACTGAAAATGTTTCCACCTTTGCAATTCTGACTACTGTAAGCACGTTTATTTAGCTGCATGATTTCACTAAATGGATGGCCATCAGAAGGCACATTGAGGTCCTTTTCCATTAGGACATTTAAAGTGTTAAGAAAGTTGAAAAGTGTTTTCCTGGAGGAGTAAGAAGTTTCCAAAAACACTGTGATTGGGGAAATCAGTAACTTCTGTCAAACTCTCCCTCATCAGAAGCAATGAAGAGCCAAAGCCCCTTTGACAAGTTCCATATGGAAGGGATGGGAAAGGTAGGCTGAGATTACAGGAAATGAATAACAAGTACCTTCGTGCTGGATTAACACACAAAATATTTCTCTTGCGCCGCCCCCCCCCCCCCCCCACCGCATCTTCCACCGTGACTCACTCCATGGTCACACACACAATAAAAGAGAAAGGACACTTTGGTAGACAAGTGTGCAGCGATTTGATATTTTTATGGGCTTTTATAACCTTTAAGGAGGCGATCTGACACAATTTTTAAGAAAGAATAAGATAAATTCGCTCTAATATACTCTCAAGAGTTTTTTATGGGAAAAGATTTCACTTTTATTGTTCCAAAAGAATTATCTTCATAATGGAGCAAGGTTTCATAGCAGCCAAGAGATACTGTAAGCTCTCAGGATATGATCTTACCATTTTGGAATCAAGGTGATTTGCTATGAGAGGACGATATCAAATGACCTACACAACAGGGACAAGAAGGGTAATTTGACAAAGCCCCAAGGAATCCATATGCAGGTAGCGGTCCCCTTGGGGGCTGAGTCTATAAGGAGAAAGTCTGAAGCCAGATAAGGAACCAAAAGAAGCTTCCAAATATGAGTCAAATAAATATATCATCGTACATATATATACATCTAGATAACGTAAAATGAAAAAAACATTTGCATCAGAGTCTGGGTTGTGACTTGCATTTGCTTACTGAAATCAGATAATGCAACAGAAACACAGTATGAAGAGGACGTAGGATTGGTTATGTCCCCACAAGTCACAACACCTCCCCTATATTATAATATCATGTGAGATATCACAATACAGCTGTGCAACTTAACAACTTAAATTCTAGGGGGAGAAATATAACTCACTGAGTCATTAGTAAGGATGAGACATGGTAGCATGACTGCACATCAAACCACCTACTCCAATTTAGAAATAGAAGTCACCCTTCTATCCCTTCTAAGATAATGTAAAATTGTAAATATTTTGTCAAGATGGAAGAAAAGCACAGGCAGACCGTGAACCACATGTTGAGGAAACATCTAAAATAGTCCTGGTCAGAATTATGCCCTGTTTCTACCACTTTCTTTCTGCAAGATGACTCCCTTGGCAGACTTGTGAATGGGTTGATCCAAGCCATTCCCATTTACAAGCACTAGTTGCCGGGGTGGTGATCATTACACATTCAAAGGAGAAGTATGCTCTAAATTTACTGGTGGCAGCAGGATGTCCCAACGGTTTAACTCTGAGACACAGAAATGGAATTCTTCCTTTAGAACAGAATGGTAAGTACAGCCTCAGTGCACATTTTCTAGTGTCCTCTGTCATGAGACGGAAGGCAGGTCGTTGCAAAGGAAGGAGATAGGTTGGGAGTGGGGTTAAGAGTCTAGTCACATTCTTGGGGCATCTGAGTGGCTCAGTCGGTTAAGCGTCCGACTCTTGGTTTCGGCTCAGGTCACAATCTGGCAATTTTGTGAGTTGAAGCCCCGTGTGGTGCTCTTCACTGGGAGCATGGATCCTGCTTGGGAATTCTCTGTCTCCCTCTCTCTGCCCCTCCCCCAATCATGCGCTGGCTTTCACTCTCACTCTCAAAAGAAATAAATAAACTTAAAAAAAAAAAAAAAAAAGAGTCTAGTCACATTCCAGTATGGCACTTGCCTTAGAGTCCTGTTTCTCCAAATTTGGGAAAGCTAATTTAGTGGGAACTGTAAGGGACATAGAGCTAACTGAGCCCTGAGCAAGGTTTGCAGATTCAAAAGAGTTTAAACTTACACTCAAGGGATGTCCTGTGGGCCGTAAGATGCAGACTGCGGAGATGTGCAGTTGACTACGAACCTCAGCCTTCACCTTGCTCAGACCAGTCAATGAACCAAATGTTGGGAAACTGTCCTGCTCCTGGGAAGATCCTATATAACCACAACTCAGCAGGAGAAGTGGGTTTGCTAGGATTTCCGAGTTCCTCACATGGCCCAGCCAACGTTAGAAGCTTCTGCAGTGCTGGCCATGACAAAGCTAAGAGTCCCAATGGAGAGAAGGTGCGAGATGTATGCTTCAGAGAATACATATCAAGAGAAGGGAAGAGCAAGAAATGGAAGCTTCTATAGCGAGCTGTGGGCAGTATGAAGATGTTTTTGAGAAACTTAAAAACCATGGGATTCTATGTCCGGACTTCTGCATCAAAGTAATAGGTGTGAGTTTAATTATGACCCACTGCCTTTCTTTTTATTCCAGTATTTCTCCATTTTTCTTGACCCATTCACAACCAATAATTAACAGTCTCATCTTCCAGCATTAGTATAACCCTTACTCCATCACTCAGGCTGAAAATCACCAATGAATATGACACATAAGTCCCTCTGGCTCCATTATCAGCACCTACATAATTTGCATTTTAAGTACTTAAATCTTTATTTGCAAGCCACACAGCTCCACCTCTCACCTGGTTACCCAAAAGGCAAAAAGTATGACAATCTACAGACATGGCATTCCAGACGTCCTGGCCTTTGAGAAATATCGAAGTAACCTTTAAGACAAACCTCCCATCTCTTTTGCATTGTTGGTGGGAATGCACACTGGTGCAGCCACTCTGGAAAACAGCCACTCTGGAGGCTCCTCAAAAAATTAAAAACAGAACCACCCTACGACCCACCAATTGTACTACTAGGCATTTATCCACGGGATACAGGTATGCTGTTTCGAAGGGACACATGCACCCCCACGTTTATAGCCAAAGTATGGAAACAATAGCCAAAGTATGGAAAGAGCCCAAATGTCCATCGATGGATGAATGGATAAAGTAGATGTGGTATATATATATACAATGGAGCATTACTCGGCAGTCAAAAAGAATGAAATCTTGCCATTTGCAACTACGTGGATGGAACTGGAGGGTATTATGCTAAGTGAAATGAGTCAGTCAGAGAAAGACAAATATCATATGACTTCACTCATATGAGGACTTTAAGAGACAAAACAGATGAACATAAGGGAAGGGAAACAAAAATAATATAAAAACAGGGAGGGGGAGAAAACAGAAGAGACTCTTAAAGGTGGAGAACAAACAGAGGGTTGCTGGAAGGGGTGTGGGAGGGGGGATGGGCTACATGGGCAAGGGGCAGTAAGGAATCTACTCCTGAAATCATTATTGCACTAGATGCTAACTAATTTGGATGTAAATTAAAAAAAAAAAATAAAACTAAGAAAATAAATAAATAAAAAATAAAAATAAATAAATAAAAAAGACAAACCTCCCAGAACAGAATTCCTTACTTAGAAGTGAAATCATCTAAAAAGAAAAATTTATTCTACGTAAATCCAATTCTCAGCGTCCAGTGCGAAAGCCAGGAGCTGGGATAACTACATACCGTTCCCACGGGAAAACCAGTGAGCTACAAATAACCCTTGTGAACGAATTCTCACAGCGCCCCGTCCTCTGTAGTGTACCACTGCCAAGTTCACCAGTGACATCACTCAAGGCTTCTTCATGCAACTTCACTTCACTAGGAAGCTGCTGGGGAAAGGGTTTCCCATGACAACTGCAACAACAATCTTGGAGGGATCTCCTCTAACACCAAGAGGAGTGATTCCGAGCTAAGCCTTTTTCCTACGTCCTCTGGCAGCAACGTAAGGATCCTATCTCTACTATGCACGACTTTCTACAACTCACAAAATGGAGGGAGGAGATGAGAGATGAGAAATGAGGTCGCTTCCGGCTCAAGAAGAAGGAAAGATCTATTTTGGAGCATGAATTCTCAAAGCTATTTCACTTTCAATCCTGTGGAGTAAGTTACATGCAGGCAGAAACATCCACGCCATTGATGGATTTCCACGGAAGCCCATTAACTAGGAGACTTTTGTGTTTTGTTGGGATCACTGTGCCTTTATAAATAGAAGCAACCAACATCAAAGACACCATGAGATTTTTCAGAAGCCTTCATTCCTATCTTCCAGAAAAGAAAGGGCTGTAGAAACCACATTCTGGATATTCAAGCTCTAGATAACCTAGAATGATCGACCCTAGAACATTCAGCAGGAAGTAACAGCTTCCCCAAAATGCACACCAAAGTTAACTTACCAAGTTACAGATCATGCTCTGGTCTGTCTGCATGGTGAACAATGAAGTGTCCTGGGGCTGAAATTGGGGAGAAAATAAAAGAGGAAAAATTATGAAGGTTCCAGCTAACTTGCTAAAAAAAAAAAAAAAAAAAAAAAAAGACAAAGATATCATTTAAATTAGCTTCCATCAATTGTATCCATAAACATATTATAAAGTTTTTTTTAACAGTCTCCTTTTATTTTATTTAAAAAAAATTTTTTTTCAATGTTTATTTATTTTTGGGACAGAGAGAGACAGAGCATGAACGGGGGAGGGGCAGAGAGAGAGGGAGACACAGAATCAGAAACAGGCTCCAGGCTCTGAGCCATCAGCCCAGAGCCCGACGCGGGGCTCGAACTCACGGATCGCGAGATCGTGACCTGGCTGAAGTCGGACGCTTAACCAACTGCGCCACCCAGGCGCCCCTCCTTTTATTTTAAATCAGAAGAGCAGGTAATGCGAAAGTAATTTTAACAGTAGATGTTCTAAACATAGATGTCATAAATGTAGGTTAGCATGATACTATACAATAATATAGAATCATTTAAAAGCGGGCAGTGATTTCAGGAACATTTCTGTTCTGCAGCTTATCTTCTGGACATCTACACTGAATTAGAATTTAACAACTCGAAGGGGCGCTCGGGTGGCTCAGTCAGTTGAGTATCCAACTTCAACTCAGGTCGTGATCCAGCCACACACCGGGCTCGCTGCTGTCAGCACCGAAGCTTTCAGCGCAGTCTGTCCCCCTCTCTCTCTGACCCTCCCCCGCTCATGCTCTCTCTCTTAAAAATAAATAAAACACTAAAAAAGGAGGAAAAAAAAAGAGTTCAGTCGCTCTAAGCTGTATGTTCACACTTTTTTAAATGTTGGAAATTCAATCTTACACTGTTACCTAAGTATGACCTCTATGGGCTAATATTGAACCAAAACTTAAACATTTCATACCATGTATTCATTGACCTAAAAAATCAAGCTGGAATAAATCTAAGGGAACAGTGATCTCTAAGACAATATTCACCTCTCCTTATGCTGGTAGCCAGGTTTATAACCAGCAGATGGAAGACTGGAAAAGTCTTTCCTGGTTAATCTGACCAGTTGAAGACAAAAAAAAGTACCTACAGAAAAGGTTCCCAACAGAAAAGCTGAGATAGTGACACTTGGTTAAAGATGTCGAATCGAGGCAGTTACCTCTGTTACCTCCAGAATGCAATCTAAACCATAAAGGGAATTTCATAAAGCAAATTTAAAAAGGCATAAATCCCTGAGCATAAAAAGCATGAGAAGAAAGATAAGAGCAACAAAATTTTGAAACTGAAAAGCAGACAAATGGACAAGGAAGTTGGCAGACCCAGAAAAAATCTGTATCCTAAGGTGATGTAAGAAATGCCAAAAAAGCAACCTGGTTTATTACTCAGCATTCCTAAAGGATCAAGAATTAGAGACAAGGGGCAGGGGAGGGGGGCACCTGGGTGGCTCAGTCAGTTAAGCCTCCGACTTCGGCTCAGGTCAAGATCTCTCATTTCATGACATTTCGTGGGGCTCTGTGCTGACAGCTCAGAGCCTGGAGCCTGATTTGGATTCTGTATCTCCTTCTCCCTCTGTCCCTCCCCATTCTTGCTCTGTCTGTCTGTCTGCCTATCTCTCTCTCTCAGAAATAAATGAACATTAAAATTTTTTTTTTACAAAAGATTTAGAAATGTGGGTACCAAGGGAAGTAGAAGCTGGGTGGTGCTAAAGGTGGGGAGCTGGCTGGAAGTCTACTAAAAAGTGACTGGACCTCAAGATCCTTTCATCGATCTGCAAACCAAGTGATATCCTTCACTCCAACACAAGACTTGACATTTTTGCAGAGGCTGAAACAGAGGGTCTCTGGACTAGGGAACACACAGACATCTTAGGAATAATAAATACTGAGAGTGGGGACTCCACTCCCCACCCCCAACTTCTTTCCCAGTCACCTCCCATTATACCTGCCAGACATGAGACAGAGAGCTGGAAGTTTAACCAGCCCAAGAAAAATAAATGCCTGAAGAATTTCACATCAGGGGCTCCTCAACAGGAAAAATGAGCCAGAAAGTTCCAGAACAACACCTATAGTCAGAGAACTCTACCTACCGGTACAAGTTCCCTGACAGCTTTTTACTATCTCACTCTTAAATGGGAGTAGATAGCCAAGATCACCAGACATTTAGGAAAAGTCTCACATATTAAAGGAAAAAACTGAATAGTTAAAAAAAAAAAAGCAAATGGAAGAAATAAAGACTTTGCAGGTGGGAAAAAAAACCTTCAAAAACGATCATGTTTATTAATAGTTTCAGAGATATAATAGAAGTGTATTCATGACATGAGGATGATGCTATTAAAAAGCATCCTATAAAAATGAAAGAGTTCCTGGAAATTTAAAAAAAGAGTAAAAACAACTTGTTAAAAGAGCTGGAAAGAAGAGAAAGATGATCAAGAAAAAGAAACAGCAAGGAAAACAATGATCAGAAGACTAGGTGAGGAACATATGGAAAAGAGAATACGACAGAATGAGAGAACAACCAAAACAGAAGAGAAACCATGAGGAAGGTAAAAAAAAAAAAATCTCCAATTAAAAACAGACATAGATTTTTAGATTAATAGGGCCTTAGTACAATGCATGAAAATAGACTGAGACCACAGAATATCACTGTAAAATTTCAGAAAAGTGGGGTAAAAAAGAGATGCTACAAACTTCCAGAGAGAAAGAGTGGTATCGAAGGGGGCAGAAAGAGAAAGAAAGAAGGAGAGAGAGAGAGAGAGAGAGAGAGAGAGAGAGAGAGAAGTTTTCTTAAAAATACCAAAAATCAAAATAACAATATAATGATTCAACGCTTCCAGACATCACCCCGCTCTCACCACAAACAGGTGCACTCCTTAATTCCCATCACCTGTTGCCCCCGTCCCCCTGCCCACCTCCCCTCTGGTAAGGACCAGTGCGTTCTCTACAGTTAAGAGTCTGATTCTTGGTTTGCCTTTCTCTTTCTCTTTTTTAATTCTTTTGCTCATTTGTTTTAGTTCTTAAATTCCACATATGAGGGAAATCATATGGTATCTGTCTTTCTCTGGCCGCCTTATTTCACTTTTGCAAATGGCCAAGATTTCATTCCTTTTTATGGCTCGGAAATATCCCATTGTAAATACACAGACCACCTCTATCTGTTCACGTGAAACTAACGTAAGACTGTATGTTTACTAAATTGGAATTAAAATAAAACCTAGGACTAATATCAATCATTTCCCAATAGTTTTTAATGGTTCAGTCTCTACACAAATACAAATTGCCTGCAAATTAAAATTAAAGTTCTGAAATAAGCTACAGAATTTCTAGTAGTAGATGAAAATGATGTTGGCGAACTATTACAGTATTACACAATTAATGGTGATGCCCAATTAAAGACCAGCCAATACATGAAGAACGGGTCAATACAAGGAGAACAACATAATAGATACTTGGAAGGAGAATACAATTTAAATAACTATTCAACACTTGATCTTAGCCAAAAGGCTGAGAAGCTATAAATAACTAAGATTAAGAAAGGCCCCTAGGTGGGGCACCTGGGGGTCTCAGTTGGTTAGGCAACCGACTTCGGCTCCGGTTGTGATCTCGCAGTTTGTGACTTCCAGCCCCGCATCGGGCTCTGTGCTGACAGCTCAGAGCTGGGAGCCTGCTTCAGATTCTGTGTCTGCCCCTGTGTCTGCCCCCTCCCCTGCTCACACTCTGTGTCTCTCTGCCTCTCAATAATAAATAAATGTCAAAAAAAATTATAAAAAAGAAAGGCCCCTGGGAAAACTGACAAAATCCTCAAATATTAATTAAAAATTTATTTTTTTAATTTTTAAAGAATATTTATTTTTGAGAGAGAGCAAGCGAACGAGCACGGGAGGGGCAGAGAGAGAGGGAGACACAGAATCTGAAGGAGGCTCCAGGCTCTGTCAGCACAGAGTCTGATGCAGGGCTCAAACTCACGAGCCATGCGATCATCACCTGAGCCCAAGTAGGACACTTAACCCGACTAAGCCACCGAGGCGCCCCTCAAAACCTATTCTTGAGGGAAATAAAAAGACTCTGTGATCTCGCTATAAAAGTCAAACATGAAGTAAAGTTTCTGTTTGTGAAATAGTTCTGTCAGAAAATTGTTTATTCTAAAAATTAGCATGGAGTTGTCATGATAATTTTACTAAATCTAAGATAAATTTTTTTTAAAAAGAATCAAAACAACAGTCTCTCAGTGGCAATACTAGGAGGTGGAGAAAATGGAGGAATGACTTCAAAATTCTAACGGAAAATATTATATCCTAATGAAATATCCAATCTAACAGACCATTTTGTACATAGATACAGACATTTTCAGATGTATAAGGTCACCAATACATATTTCTCATGCATACTTTTCTTTTTTTTTTTTTTTAATTTTTTTTTCAACGTTTTTTATTTATTTTTGGGACAGAGAGAGACAGAGCATGAACGGGGGAGGGGCAGAGAGAGAGGGAGACACAGAATCGGAAACAGGCTCCAGGCTCTGAGCCATCAGCCCAGAGCCCGACGCGGGGCTCGAACTCACGGACCGCGAGATCGTGACCTGGCTGAAGTCGGACGCTTAACCGACTGCGCCACCCAGGCACCCCTCATGCATACTTTTCTTAGAAAGCCTACTGGAGGATGTGCTTTAATTTGTGGATGAGGACATGTTCTAGCATGTGGGATTAAACCACAAAGGAGGCAGATTGGTGTCCAGAAAGAGAGGCCTGACATAAGAAAGAGGTGAAGGCCAGTCCCAGGTCAGACATACCAGAAGAGCCTGGGGAACAGCTGGGGCAGCAGGTGTAGCCAGAGGGAACCCAGTTCAGACGGAGCAGTCCAGAAAGAGAGACGAGCAAATTCTTCGGGAAGATGAAACCGACTGAATGCTTAATGTTTGCCAACAAAAAAGGAGGGGAGATTCACAGAACTACAGAGTATGGGACTGAATTAGTGAGATGTACCTAAAAAACTAAGCAAACAAACCAACAAGCAAACAAGTAAGAGCCTGCAATTATTTCCTCAAAGGAGAACAAAAGGCTGGCATAAAAGTAAACGGAAACTTCATGGCTGGGGCGCTGACAGCATTTGTATCATCGTACTATTACTATTACCAGAGATTGGCTGGATGGCTTTGGTGGGACTACAGCAGGGAGAGAGAGGGCAGGAGGGAGAAGGAGGGGTGAGCCATGGGGGTGGGGGGTTATCTGCAGGCATGGTAAGTCCGCACCTTCCAGAGAGGAGTTGATAGATAACAGAAGATAGATAATGATTTAGGAACCACAAAGTAGCATTATAAGACAGTTATGCGTACACCTGTGGCTGAGATCAGAGAACCTGGTAAAAAGAGTTGAAGTATTTACCTCTAAGAAATCATCAGAAATGGAGGAGGTGTGGATGGTCTGAACTTTCTATATAAAACACTATTATACAATTTTGTTGCTCTTTAAATGACGTGCATTTATAACTGCTAAGCACACAAATTCAAAAAAAAAAAAAAAAAAAAAAGAGAGAGAGAAATGAGTAACAATTCTCCTGACCTGACCTTTTAAAGAGTTTCAGGCAGACGGAAGAGATGCATTATCATCTCCCTTAGTGTTTGTGTGTACCTGCATTCGGATGTGGGTCTGAGTGGAACTTTCTCATTTCACAGGTAAGGCTGTGTATGATTCTGCGTAAGGAGGCTCCTAAAAACCATTTCTGTTTTCTGAAGACCCATCCCATTAGTTCAAAACAATCCTCTCTCTTCTTTTCCGACAGCTGAATCTAGTGGATCTCTCGGATCAGGACAACCTCTAATTTCTAGTAGAGGAATCAGCGTAATTCTGTGGTTGGCTAACAATGTCAGTAGCTAGGACAGTCAGGAGGTACTTAGTATGTGCCGGGCTACCGGGCAAAGTGTGCTGGTTGCATATTTCATGGACTCTTCACCACAACCCTACGATATTGCCACCATTGCTGCTTCCGTTACCAAACTTGCAAGTGACAGGGTCAAGACTGCCCCGATGCGCTTAAACGTTATGTTACTCAAGTGACACTGAGGCCACTCATTCTCAACAGATGGGTTGTGCAAGCAAACCGATCTCTTACCTGGGTGAATCCATTAAATGTACCACCGGAAGCCTAAACAGAAAGGGAAATCAGAGTACGTTACTTTGTATCATTTTTGTGAGATCAGCAAATGTCCGTCAGACAAGTTGGAAAGTAAAGACCAGCACACATTTTAAAATAATACAAAAGGCTGCTGTGCACGACAGTGTTTAGGAAATGCAAAAGACCAAAGTGTATTATTTTAAATAGGCTGACCAAAAAAAAAAAAAAAAAGAAAGAAAGAAAAAGATCCTTCTTACAATTATTGCTGGTGTATGGCTCAATGTTAATCAAAGCCCACTTTCTCAGTAATGAGAAGATGATTCCAGAGGAAAGTCAGTGAGCTTCTTTTTTAGGCCACTGATAGAATCCATCTGCATTCTTAGGACTTCTCTAAGACATCATTTGAATGAATGGCTTTTGGGAGATTCTATAGTTTCTGGGGGCCCTGGGTGGAAACACTGCATGTGTTCTTACTGGAGTAGAATCATTTTAGGAATAGTAAATTAGTCTGTTCTACATATTTGTAGCAGTTGAACAGTAAAAAGGAAAGCGGAATAAACACAATAAACGGGATGGTACATAGACTCATTAGTTCCCAACACAACCATTCTGCTTTTTGTAAATTTTTTTTTTTTTTTTTTTTGGTCAACCTATTTGTGTTTGGTTTGCACAGATTTCAAGGAGATGAGGCAGGCGTCAGAGAAGACAGTGATGGAGAATGAAATAGGTGGGAAACATTAGGAAAAACAGAACCTACAGAAGTCTTTGGCTAGTCTATACTACATACGAGGGTAAGTACCTCTTCTTTATCAGGCTCTATTTCTTGGTACAACAATCCATATCTCTGGTTAGCAATTTCATCTTCGGATAAATCTGAGTTGCTGAGGTCACTGTCTTGGGGACTAGCGGGACTGTCGGTGCTAGCATTGCGGGAGGTTCCCAGAACCAACGGTCTAGCCATGTCTCGGCTTTGTTCCCAGCACTTAGCAATGGCGTATCCCCCCACCACATCTGCCGGTGAGTCCACCTCCAGCCCTCTCTTGCCTTCAATTGTACCTAAATGTTCCCAGGAATTATCTAAGCCTCCCACATCTCTGATAGGCCAGTGGTTAATGGAATCGAACCAATTGGCAAAGCCACTTGCTTGGCCATCTGGTATACCAGAGAATTCCAATATATCCATATTATTCACTGCTGAATCCAAGCGTGGCTGCCAGATTTGACCTGGATCTGTTGCCCAAGAGTCTGTTTTCACAATACTTGGTAAGTTAATGGTAGGACTACAGTACCCAGTCACTGTACTTTCAGACCCCTCTATTAACGAGAACTCTGCCTTACACAAACACCAATCTCTTCGGTTTGCATTAGCTCCCAGAGAATAATTAAGGTCTGTCCTAGACTGAGCTGCCACTTCATGGTTTACTGAGGAAACAACAGACTGATGTTCATCCCTGCCAACGCCAGGAGTAGGTAACACAGCCTCCTGCTGAATTTCTTCTGCATCTGCACTGCCTCGTCCTGAGTGATGTTTTACACCGTGGTTAGGAGGACCTATTGAATTTTTCCTTATGTCTCTTCTAGCTAAATCCCATCCCTCAGGACTGGCATTTTCAATATTAGATACAGAATCAGTCTGGAGATGCAGATATAAGACATCTGCGTGATGGGCAGGGTTAGCTCCAGAGCCTTCTATAATTTCACAATTATTGATTACTACTGGACGCCCCTCATCTAGCCCTTGGTTTCGGTCACCAAATTCAGCGGCCGTAGCTACTCTTTCCAGGTCTTTTTCTAACGCATCAGTTGTATCAGAATTCTTTGCACTGGTATTTTCACTTTCCCGACAACTAGCTCTTAGATCGATGCTCACTTCCTCTTTACTGATTTCTAAGGTCTCCTGGTCTGGCTTTCCTGTTGTCTTAAGGAGATCTACTAGCCTGTTTCCTGCACTTTCCCATATTTTCTCTTCAAATTCCTCTGTACCTTCTAGGGCCTTGAGATCAATAGGTCCAGTGTCTACCTTTTCATATGTCTCCACACCTGCCCACAGAGAATCTTCGATCTTCTGTTTCTCTTCCTCTTCTTCTGACTGTTCAACATCTTCTGGACTTTCTTCGACCGGGCCACCAGTTTCTGTGGCTGCCATCTCTGAGTCAGATAAGTCATGAGGCCGCTCCATCTCCATATAAGCAGCTGTGGCAAATTCAGCCTCAGGCATGGGCTTTGGGTACAGCTGTTCACTTCCACCCGGAGGGGCTGGCCCCACAACAAGCTCGCCCTGGTCAGCTACAGTGTGCCAGTCAGCGGAAGGAAGAATTCCAGTGGACAATCTCATGTCCTGCTCTGCTTCAGACAGACATGAAGAGTCTTCCTGAGACCCACCTTGGGTAATTTCCTGGCTGACACTCTCTGTACTAGCATCAGGGCCCCAAATAAATGCACCTAGGTCAATTTGAGATCTTTGAATTTCTTCGGCCAACCCACTGTCTGGAGTTTCCTCCATGATCAGGTTACACAGGGAAAGGCTTTTTGAAGAGTCAGTCTTTAGAGTATGCAGAATAGCAAAGGAAAAAAAAACAAACAAACATAAGATAAAATAGACCATGGCAGGATTTGATGAGAAATGCAAAGCTCTTCAGTAGGGTAGCGCCAGTTAAACAAAAGTAGGGAGTATTTAAATTAAAATTAAAATCAAATGGTTAAGGTTACATCTGCAACTAGCAATGCCATGGAGGAAAAAAACAAGATCATTCTAGATAATATCCACATATACAAGGCATAGTAAATATAAAAAGAAATCCAGAATATCCTGGATATTTACCTACCGGTTGTACCAAATCAGTGCTTGTCTGCATGAGTAAAAAGAATAATAATAATCAGTAGTAATAATAATAATAAGGCAAAAGAAGAAAATTCCTTAGCACCTTAACATCCCATGCTGTCCAGAGTCAACATTCTCCTGAAAGCTGTGGCTTTTACTGGTTTGAGATCAACTTTTATAATTTGTTTTGTGCTAGGGGTGAGTTTTGTTGCAATACTGTTTAAGATGACACAGTTGAAACCCGAAGAAAGCCTCTGTCATTTTCTAGTCGGCAAGGAGGCCTCGTGGCTATTACAGGACTTCTGCTTTAGCAGGACTCTGAACTGTGAAGTTTTCAAATAAAGAAGCAAACTCAAGAACACGAGAATAAGATCACTCTCTAGCACCCACAAGAGTACACACATCACATGCTCGGTCACAGTAACAGAACAGATCTTCCCCCAAACTCCCCCCACACTGGGTTCTGCCTCTGAGGCAGGGGGAAGATGGTCTGGTACTAACCGCTCTGACTGCCTGGGCGATTGTCCTCATGTCCTCCCCGCCCCCACCCGCGAACTAGAAGCCTGGTCTGCACACAGACGACACTAAGGGGTTGAGGGGAGCAAGGAATGCCAGCAATTATGGCCAGGGAGCTACTGTTCTGCAGTGTCGCCATCACCATCTTTCTTTTTTTTTTAATTTAAAAAAATTTTGAGGGGCGCCTGGGTGGCGCAGTCGGTTAAGCGTCCGACTTCAGCCAGGTCACGATCTCGCGGTCCGTGAGTTCGAGCCCCGCGTCAGGCTCTGGGCTGATGGCTCAGAGCCTGGAGCCTGTTTCCGATTCTGTGTCTCCCTCTCTCTCTGCCCCTCCCCCGTTCATGCTCTGTCTCTCTCTGTCCCAAAAATAAATAAACGTTGAAAAAAAAATGTTTAAAAAAAAATTTTTGAGAGAGAGAGAGCACGCACGCAAACAGGGGAGGGGCAGAGAGAGGAGGAGACACAGAATCCGAAGCTGTCAGCACAGAGCCCGACATGGGGCTCAAACTCACGAGCTGTGAGATCATGACCTTAGCTGAAGTCGGACACTCAACTGACTGAGCCTCCCAGGCACCCCGGTCATCACTACTTTTCTTAGCAGGTTTATCCTCTGAAATAATCAGTGCTCCCCCTAGATGATACCTTCACCCTCACCACACCCTTCCTGGAGAGGAAGGAAAAATGTATTATAACTCCAACTGAAGATGTGAAATACTGCAACAGTAAAACATGGGCACTGTCCTCTTGATCTTCAAGAAAATCACCATGGAGTTGTGGCTAGAATTCAAATGTCCTGAACGGCAGTGCACATATCCCTTTTTGTGATTACACGAGCAAAGCCAGCTCACTATAAAAGATGTTTTCAGGGGCGCCTGGGTGGCGCAGTCGGTTAGGCGTCCGACTTCAGCCAGGTCACGATCTCGCGGTCCGGGAGTTCGAGCCCCGCGTCGGGCTCTGGGCTGATGGCTCAGAGCCTGGAGCCTGTTTCCAATTCTGTGTCTCCCTCTCTCTCTGCCCCTCCCCCGTTCATGCTCTGTCTCTCTCTGTCCCAAAAATAAATAAAAAACGTTGAAAAAAAATTTTTAAAGATGTTTTCAGTCAACATTTTTTAGCTCTTCTCTTGAGAGCTTTCCAGGATGCTTTAAGGATCCGAAGTAGGGCGGTATAAACCCGCTCCTGTGGAAGGGAAGGGGGCAGTCAACTTTCTGTCTTAGGGGAAGAGAGTAGCAATGTCACTTCAGAAGACTAGACCCATGAACACCAAGATCTAGCAAACTTTCCTACCGCTGTCTCACTAAAAAAGAAGAAAAACACACCAGGCGCCTGGGTGGCTCAGTCGGTTAGGGTGTCCGACTTCAGCTCAGGTCATGATCTCCCAGTTCAGAGTTCAAGCCCCACGTCAGGCTCTGTGCTGACAGCTCAGAGTCTGCAGCCTGCTTCAGATTCTTTGTTTCCCTCTCCCTCTCCCTCTCTCTCTGCCCCTCCCCTGCTCACACTCTGTCTCTCTCTCTCTCTCTCAAAAATAAACTTTAAAAACATAAAAAAGAAAAAAAACACGAAACCCAAGTTGAGCTCTGAAGACCATGTGACCAGAACTTTTCCAATATAGGGCAGACAAAGGCCTTATTCCTCAGGGATACAAAGCTTCATGTGAGTATGGCCACCCTCCTAATTCCCCAGCACAGATGCCGCCACCACGAAGTTCCATTTGTGTCTTTTTTCCCAACTCTAACTTCTGGAAGTGCCCCTCTTTGCCCATCAGATTAGCTGAATACATACCATTACCAGTAATAGCTACCTTTTATTGCTATGGACCAGATGTGGGGCTAAACACTATAAATATCAACTATTTGATCCTCACGTGGCCCTCTGAGGTAGATGACATTGCCCTTATTTTAGCCTGGAGAAAAACTGAGGCCGAGAGAAATTCATAAGTCGCCCGAAGTCCTATTGCTGTAAGAGGTAGAGTCTTGATTCAAATCCAGGGCCGTCTGGCTCTAAAGCCCAAGATCTTGTTGACGAAGCTTCATTATTACTGAAAATAATAGTGAGAAACTGGGTCCCGGTGCAGAGTAGCATGTCCCTTACGTTTGCTCAGCCACATTTTCTTCTATTCTACTTAAAAGCAATAAAAAAGGTGCACGTCCTCAACCGCAACATTTCCTGTGGCCAATAACCACGGGAAGAAGCATAAAAAGGCACAACACCACAGATTCTTGCTTATCTAGGAGTCTGGAACAATGACACTCTTTTCCATGCCACTGTTTCTAGGTGCTGGTAATGCTTGGAACCACCAGGGAGCTGATTATGGTTCTAGGGGGCTACATTACCATTAAAAAATGTCTAGGTCTTCAGGGCCCCTGGGGGGCTCAGTTGGTTGAATGTCTGATTCTTGATTTGGGTTCAGGTCATGATCTCAGGCTTCGTGAGACGGAGCCCCACGTCGGCTCTGCATGGACAGTGTGGAGCCTGCTTGGGATTCTCTCTCCTCTTCGCTACCCCTCTCCTGCTTGTGTTCTCCCTCTCTCTCTCAAAATAAAAAAATAAACTTAAAAAAAATGTTAGGTCTTCTTCTCATCACAAATTAATTAAAATATAATAAGGTTTCCAAATTTCTAGGGCTCCAGATACATCAAAATATGAGTTCTCCATACTCTTACCGTCCATAGGTCCCAGGGCAATGTCTGAAAGCAAACAAACAAAAATATGGTTAGTATACAAATCCCAAGCATGTAAAAAAATACTGACGTGATGGAAGTTCTGAAAATAAAACATTTTTGAAATATTTAGTACAGCACTGTTCAACAGAACTTGCTTTGGTGATGAGAGTGTTCCGTATCTGCGCTGTCCAAGGTGGTAGCCACCAGTCACAGGTACTATTAAGCGCTTGAGAGGTGCTAGTGTAAGAGAACCAAAATTTAAAATTTATATACTTTGATTGTATTTAAATTGGAATAGTCAAATGTGCCTTGTGGCTACTACAATAAACCACAGGAGACCAGTCAATCTGCTTTTCACTGTAGGAGTAAAAACTGTATCTGAAACATGATGAATGTGTTTACTTCACACACACACACACACACACACACACACACACTTAAAATGAAGTACAAGGTGTCCAGATTTTAGTTTCTCACATCTTTGAGGAAATACAGATCTAATCATTGCTACTGCTTCCTCTCCCCCCACCCTCCAAATTCAAGAGGATGAATTATGACCAGTTTGATGGTCAATGAACCCCAGAAAGGTAGTTCTTCAATATGCTGAATTAGATGATAACACAGCTCAATTAATAATCATGCAAATCAGCAGGGTGCCTGCTAAGACATAATGGATGAATATGCTTACTACTGGCATTTTAATTATAAAGCTCATTGATCCTGGGGAGCAAATCCAGATGGTTCAAGTGACTTCCGCCCATGTGTTTGGGAAAGTGAGGGAGACCTCTCTCATCTCCTTTGTGATTGAGAATTGCTGCTAATGCCACACCCTCTTCTGCCTTTGTCTTTGTGACTAGAATCAGATCCTTGTTTATGCACTTGTTTTGATCTCTAAATGAGTGGCAAATTGGAGAGCCTGGCACGCCCAAACTAAGAACATGGGGGTTTCCAGATGGGGTCACAGATGTCTCACTGGGATTCAGTACTACAGGACAGGGGTCCTGTGGTTCTGAGAGAGCCCGCCCCCCCTGGGCTGTATCACCCCAGCCGCCCTGCGTCTCTGTGCAGCCTGGCGGCTCTCTGGGTTAGGTCCCACCTGTTGAAGGACTTAAGAAAGGAGAGCAGAACGGTTGCATGGAAAGCCCCAGTTATTTGTATGTGTACTCCTTCTGCATCTAACATGTTTTGTGTTTTCTTGCTTCCCAGCCTCTTAGGAATCACAGCTCCTAAAAGCTACCCCATATCCCTGCCTCATGCAGATGGCGTGGGGGATTTTCTCCAAAGGAAGGCGGCAAAGTGAAACGTCTTGTTTATCAGTCCTCAGGATCACGAAAGGACGCGTTAACTCGTGCGGACACCGTGGAGATCGCAAAGTGAGCTGTTCTGCCAGCAGCAAGAACATCCATTTAAAGCGTGGGGTCAAGCGATGGTTAAGCGAGATCATTCTGAGCGAAGGGGAAAGAAGGCCCGCACAAATCTAATGGCTCTGTGCTTTTTTGCTCTCTCAGCCTAAGACTGTTCTTGGAGAAGAGATGTGATTAGAGCCGGCTCACAGGATGACTCTGCAGTGAGGTGACTCAATTAGAGCCACTGGGCAGCCGGGGCGGTTTATTACCTGGCCTGAGGGAGGACACGGGGCACACACAGCTTTTTCTAACTGCGGTGATGCATTTTCTTCAGAAGAAAGACTTGTGAAGATTTAATCAAGGTCATTTAAAAAAACCTTTCTTAAGTTTGTTTATTTTTGAGGGGTAGAGAGAGAGAGAGTGTAAGTGGGGGAGGGGCAGAGAGAGGGAGACAGAATCCGAAGCAGGCTCCAGGCCCCGAGCGGGCAGCACAGAGCCGGACACGGAGCTCGAACCCACGAACCATGAGATCATGACCTGAACCAAAATCAGACGCTTAGCCGACTGAGCCAACCAAGCGTCCCTCGGTCATTTTTTTTTCTAATTATGAAAGAGTCTCTTAGTCCTAAATCCACACAAAGTTCCATGATTTGTGGAATTTTTTAATCATGGATTGATATAAAAGAGGTTTCTCTCTTGATCCAACTCGCAGATAGACATGCTGTGGGATCTCATCCACTGATCACGACAACATTCACTGTAGAAACCTGCCTTCTGCCACTAGAGCAGTGAACGCTGGAGTGTGAGGCAGAGAAGTCCTGTAGACAAAGAAGTCTACACAGTGAGAAAGCTCTTTCGCGGAAGTATTCTGAATGATATGTACATTCATCTTCTGCTTTGCTGGGCCCCCAAGGCAGAACCCTCAAGCTTGCTGATAATCACTATGGTGGCATTCCCCAAAGTATGTTTTAGAGAACATTCAAGGGAATGTGAAGAAACTTTCATTCAAACAGATTTCTGTGGTCAAACACATTTGGGAATCTCTAAGTTAAACAAGTCTAAACGGTTTTTTAATTGCAGGACTTCCTGGAGCCTTTAATATTGTAATGCCTACCATGAGTCTCCTAAAAGGGATTTAATAGAACTTTCTGAAACATTTATCTAAGAGACCCATTTTTTTGCAAAATATCTTCAAAGGCTCGTATTTGATCTGCTTAATTACCTGCTTTACCGACATCTCAGATTTGTATTGTTCCTGTATTACAACAAGGAGGCCTTCAGAAATGCGATCACATTCTGGAATAAAGCATGGATTGAAGAGAGGCTTTATTTATTGAGGTTCATACTGAGCTGACAGTGGTTTACGGTAAGGTATCACGAAGGCTTCAAGACTAAAAGATTGAGCCAGGTCTCAGTTTATAATACACCTTTCTTAGTTCACAGGAAGTATATCCCAGCCACCTTTGGATTTGCCCAAATTCAAATGTGAGGCCCCAAGCACATCAAAAATACTGATACAAACAATTTCTGCTTAGACAGATTTTGAGTTAACTTCCTTTCATGGGCACAGACAATCATGAAGGAAGTCTACTGCAGAAGAATCATCCACAAGCCATTAGAGCGCCCCGCTCCTGGGCCTTTCTGCTGGAGAACGCTGTGGCCATCACTAGTGAAGTGAGGAAAGGTTGAGGATGATGATGATGATGAGCAAGGGAAGCTGGGTACGGGAGGCCAGCTCCGCATCAAGCCATAGCCCAGATTCCATAGGGGAAGCTTCTGCAATGTGGAGGAAGACAATGTCATCAAGTTCAAAGTGACCAAGACTGGAAAACATTTCCGTTGGGGCACGATTTCGAGGCTATGTCTAACGTGCTTTAATCTCCAAAGCATGGAGAAGGAACGTAGAGGAAACAGTGAGAAGGTTAAGTCCAGGGCCAAGAGAAAGAGCTTCATTTAGAGAAGTCATGAAATGTATCATCGAAGTCTGAACGGTCTGAGTGTAAAATGATACTAATGATACAATTACTCTGAGACAAGGGATTCCTGGGCAACCATACATTCCAGTTTGGGATGTATGGTTATCCCAGCTCTATGGGGAGAGAGAGAGGGAATGGGAGGAGGAGGTTTGGAATGATAGATATGGATAAGGTCTTCTTTCTACCCTTCCTTCCATTAGAAAATGTTTGTCAACCCAAAAGAAAAGTAAATAGTCACTTGAAATGGAGAGCGGTCTGAAAGGCATCTGCTGCCCTTGAAGTTCACGAAAACGTCATCTCCAAACATCAAAGCCGCCATCGGATACCTGCGACATGGGTGAGTGGGTCACTCCAGCAGAACCTGCAGGTGTCACCTCAGGCTTGAAAGGGTCGAAGTCCAGATCCAACAATGTCTCCTCTTTCTTCACCTCGGGGACTTCATTCTGTTAAAGGAGAACAAGACAGAATATGAGACTTTATGATATAATCCCCGTGTAATCCTCTAACATCACTGAATATCCCCAAAGCATGCTCTGATAGTTTACCTAGAGTCACTCGCGAAATGTGATGAAGGGGGAAATAACCGACTGTGGCCAACTGGAACCTAAGGTGCGTAGGAATGCGACCCAGGTTTTGGTTTCTGTCCTTCGTCCAGCTCCGAATCCAGCCAACAAAGAGAATGTCTAAGAGGTATATCCTGATGCCATCAAGATCCAAGGACTCTCCTCTGCTAGTTTAGCAATCTCAGGTCAAGAATTACGGACGACCAGACAGATACAATAGGCCACGGCTGGGACCCATCACCATAGCCCATGGCTGTGAGGTCCCCTGCGAAGCTCGTGAGTAAAAAGGAAGGGATGCCATCTACCCTGACTACCTCCACCTGCCTCATCCCCTCAGAGAGACCCTATCCTTTGATGTAGTCATCACATGAACCACTCTTCATCCATATTACTGTCGGTCTCCACTGTAAGTATGAGGGAGGGAAGGTGAAAGAGAAAGAGCGAGGGAGTGAACCACATCCCCCAACATTTGCCATAAAATAACATTCCTTGATTAGAAACAGGTAAGCCAAATAAGACACAGGATAAAAGTCCTGCTATAATAGCGACACATTTATAATACTGAACATTAATATTTATTCATTTATTGTGGTCTCATGATACAAAACAAAAATAACACGGCTTAAAGTTAGCCTAGCCTTGGCTTAAGTTACGCAGTAAGGGTTAGAGCTGGAATAAAGCCCCCATAAACAATCACGGTGAACAGAACTGGGTCAGTTTCCACAGAATCAAGTAATGTGTGTTTGGTGTTTGATAGAAGCTTCAGTTTTGACCATCTGTACTCTAGAAACTCAAAGGTCACAACCATGGATGAAGCACAAAAGAATAGGAATGTTCAGAGAAAGCTTTTAAAGAACAAGAGTTCTTTTAATTAATATTGATCATAGACATAAAACTTAAAAATATATAGAGCTGTATGAATAGCTTTGGGGCATAAGAGATAATTGTTTTTAGTATATCCACACTCACTATAGAAGGAGATCTGCTTAAATACCACACGATTGGTCCTGGGCTACCTATTTTGCAGCATTTAAAATTTGCACGTTTAAAATTTCACAAGGCTAATCCTTCTTGCTTTAAAAATTACAATCACAAAACCATCAACTGATTCCTTTGGCCCCTATTCAAAATCTGCATGGGTTTTGTTTTTTGCCAACATTTGTATTGGTACAAGTTATAGGTCTAAAATTTTGTGAACACTTCCATTGACTTAGAATGTGCTAGGCACTGCTCTGAGAGCTTCGTGCATATAAATATTAACTCAGGTTAGGGCACTTCACTGCAGTCTAATGATACAACGCTACAACACTATTATTGCCTTCAAAGAATGACCTTCCTAGATCCCCCAGACTTCATTTTGCCCGCACGGTCTAATCCTTACAAAAACCAAGGGGTAAATGGCATCATTCCTCCATCTGGGGATAAGGAGAATGGGCTGTTGTCCTGGGTCCCTCAGATGCAATGCAGCCGAGGCAGGACTGCAACAGCCAGAGGCCTTGGACCCCAGTGCTATTCCAGGCTGCTGCTGAGACCTGGGCCCACATCTCTCAAACAGGCACCATGGGGATCTGCAGAGGAATTCTGGACAGTCTTTAAGTTCTTCTTAAAACGTGAGCCCAAACGAATCTGTCCATTAATCCTCTCTGAGCCTAATGGGGCCCCTTATGAAAGCTCGAATGGAAATGTAGAGCTCAAGGATGACAAGTGGCATGAGACTGTATACCAGTGTGGTGGTCTTCAAAAGGTGCAGCTGGCTACTTCAGACTCCATTTCTATTTGGTTTTGCACCCTTAATTCTTGCGGGTTACCCCTTAAGGCACTCATATCAAACAGCAGTTTGACAGAACTACAAAAAGAGCAAAAAAAGGAGTTGCCTGCTGATACAGCATTCCTTTATAAAATGACAACCCTGTCATTAACATGTTGAAACACGTTAACATGTCACGTCCCTTAACGTAACAAAAGAAAACTCCTCTCATTCCTTATACCTGAGTCACCATTAGAGCAGATCTGATGTGGTGTCGACATTCGTAAACTTTTAGAAGCCAGAGCTTAAGTACCGTGTTCCCATTAAAAGTCTAGACCCAGAATGTGATCCTAAGAAAAGAGACTACATGTGTAAACCACAGGGGGAAAATACCCAAAGGGAAGATCTTACCAGTGATAATAATCTTCAGGAAGTGTCTTCTGCTAGGGACATCTAAGTTTATAACCGAAGTACTGAACTTCTTCCACTCTAGGTAGACAATTTGACCATAATCCTATGCCTAGTCTTGCCATGGCCTCCCTACAGATGGAGTTTACTGCCTTATTCCTTGACTTGGGGTTGACCATCTGTCATGCTTTAGTCAATGGGTGTTAGTAAATGTCACACAAATGAAGGCTTGAAATGTTTGTGTGGGTGACTTGCTTTTTTGTATTCTTGCCACTCACTGTGCAACGTACAAGCTTCGGGGAACCACTGGTCAAGGAGGATGGGAGCCACAGGGAACACACCTGGACCCACCATAACTAAATTCCTCAAAAGCGGTGTTAAAGAGGAATTCTTACAAGTGGCCGGGGCGGGGGGGGAGGGGGCAGGGTAAGACATGTTACTGAACACAGGGACAACCTAAGAATAATAGCATTTTTTAGCACCAGAATTAATGCAAGCAAAAAGATGCTGAGGCAGTATCTTTGAAGTACAGAGAGAAACTTAGAATTCTGTGCCCCTTGAAAATATTTTTATGTTTTCATTTTTAAATATTTATTTGAGAGAGAGCACAAGCAGGGGAAGGGGCAGAGAGAGAGGGAGAGAAAGAATCCCAAGGAGTTTCCACACTGTCAGCACAGAGCCCGACATGGGGCTTGAACTCACAAACCACGATTTCATGACCTGAGCCAAAATCAAGAGTCTGACACTTAACAGACTGAGCCACACAAGTGCTCCGAAAATATAAAAAAAAGACGAAAAATGTGGGGCACTTGGGTGGCTCGGTCGGTTAAGCATCCAACTTCGGCTCAGGTCAGATGTCACTGTCTGTGAGTATGAGCCCCGCATCAGGTTCTGTGCTGACAGTTCAGAGCCTGGAGCCTGCTTTGGATTCTGTCTCCTTCTCTCTCTGCCCTTCCCCGCTCACATTCTGTCTTCCAAAAATAAATAAAAATTTTTTAAAAAAGAGAGAAAAAATGAGGTGACTATTTTTTCATATACAAAAGCAGAAAGAACCCATCACCATCCAATCAACACAACTAATGTGAAAAGACATTTTTCAGGCATGAAATGATGCTACATGGAAATACGGATCTAGATGGAAGTATGGATGTACACAAAGGAATGATAGGCTCCAAAGGAATGAGAAATGATAACTATGTAGGTAAGTATACATGACTTTAGTCATTATTTAAATCTCCTTAAAAGATAACTGACTGCTTAAGCAAAGATAATCACAAAGTAACATGAAGTGACTTTACGTTAAAAAATAAATTCTATTTGACAAAACAGACAAAACAGTACAAAACCAGAAGAGGGGGAAATGTAAGTATACAATTATGGGATTCTTATGCTAGACCTGAAATATACCACTATTTGAGGGCAGACTTTTTAATAAATTAAAACATGTACTTTAAGCCCTAAAGCAACCACTAAAATACCAAAACAAGTTATCACTAATAAACAAAAGAAATAAGAGAGTAATAAAAATAATCAATTAATCTAAAAGAAAACAGAAAAAAGAGGAAAAAGGGTTAAAACAGATGGCTCAATAGAAAAAAAAAAATATCAAGGTGCCAGATTGAAACGTCACCATATGAATAACTACCTTGAATGAAAATGGCCTAAACAGTTTAATGAAATGCAGAGGTTATCAGATTAGATTAAAAAAGCAAGACTCAACTAGATACTGCCTATAAGAAACAGATTTCAAATACAGAGGCACAAACAAGTTGAAAGTAAAAGGAAGAAAAAAGATATATTATGCCAACCTAACCAAAAGACAGCTGGAACAGTTATATTAATGTCAAACAAAGCAGACTGCAAATAAGAGAACATTATTATGGATAAAGGAGGTCATTTCCTAATGTAAAAAGGTGTTAATTCTAAACATTTATGGATTCAATCAGAAAGTATCAAGATACATGAAGCAAGAACCAAAAACACAGCATCAAGAAATTTTAAAATGCACAATTTTGTAGGGAAGATTTCAACAGCCCTCTTTCAACAACTGAAAGAAATAGAGAGAAAATCAGCAAGGTTATAGAAAATACAGAAAACACCAAGACCCAATTTGACCTGATTTACACTTATAAAACACTCCATACGGCAGCACGATACAAATTCTTTTCAAGTGCATGTCAAACACAGAACATAACAGACGCTGTTCTATTAAACAGGTCTCAATAAACTTAAGACCGGTCTCAATAAACTTAAAAAACATCCAAGTCATACAAAGTATGCTGACGACAATGGAATCAAGTTTCAAATCAGTAAGAGAATTATCTCTAGAAAAATCCACAAATATGTGGACAAAAATAACATTCTAAATAACTCAATGAAAGAAATGAAAAGAAAAACACCAGAAGAAAGAAGAAATCAACGTGGAAATTAGAAAGCAGTTTGAGTTGAATGAAAATAAAGACAACAGGTGCACCTGGGTGGCTTAAGCACTGACTCTTGACTTCAGTTCAGGTCATGATCTCACGGTTCATGAGTTTGAGGCCTGCATCAGGCTCTGCACTGACGGCAGCCTGCTTGGGATTCTGGCTCCCTTTCTCTCTGAACCACCACTTGCTTTCTATCTCTCTCTCAAAGTAAATAAAAGTGAACTTTATTATTTTTTTAAGTTTATTTATTTAGAGAAAGGGAGAGAGAGAGAGAGAGAGAGAGAGAGAGAGTGAGAGAG